CTAGTGTTTCCCAGGGCGCTCTTTTAGCCTGCCCGGTAGGGGGTGGCTAAGGTCTGCATACGGTCACCTAATTCTGTATAGCCCTCCTGGAGGAGCCTAACCCCCTCTGTGAGGGTGGCAATGTGTTGGCACAGATCATCCAGGGGGAAAGTTCCCCTTCCAGACTCAGTCATGGCCGCAAGGTACTGTCAGGCTCCGCCCAACGGGATCTCTAGTGGTCCACGGCACGGGGTTTCCCAGGACGCGGAGTCTAAGCCCCAGTCTGCCTTTTCACCAGAGCCCCTGATGGTGGGGTTGGACTTGGTGCAAGACTGGAACCAAGTCGCGTCCCTGGGCACCCCGGCGGTGGCAGAGGGGTCCCGCTGAGGGTATGTGCCCGGGATGAGTCTGCTGTGAAGGGGATGACAGACCCTGATCCGAGCGGGATGGATGGGATGACAGATCCCGATCCGAGCGGGATGGATGGACGACTGCCAGGAGTGAGCGAGGTCAGACTAGCCGGGTCGGTATCGTGCGGGCAGCGTGGTACAGGGGGAGCAAGTGGAGAATGGTTGGGGTCACAAGCCAGGTTCAGCAGGTAGCGGGCAGCGTGGTACAGAGGGTCAGGCAGAGGGATGGTCAGGAACGAGCCGGGGTCAGAGCAGGAGAGGGTCAGCGTAATCAGAACAGGCAGAGTTTGGCAACAAGGAAACGTACTAGCAGGAAACACAGGAACAGGAACAAGACCTTGCGGCACTTTGGAAATGCACAGGGCAGGTTTAAATAGGGTGCCCTGAGTTTCCATTGGTGCGGCCACGATTGCTACTGCGCATGCGCGGCCGCCGCCGCGATCTCTGTATTCGCCGGCCAGGAAGAGTCGGCGATCTGCGCATGCGCGTGACGCTGAGCGGTCGGGATCCCTGACACACTTGGCGGATATAGCTGCCAAAGAAGCAGTGAAAAACCAACAAAAAATGTCCGAGGTGGCCGAAGAGGAGAGTGAGACCTCAGCACAGATACTTTTGGCGGTGCATGTGCCATGAGACAAGCAATACCTGATCTCTATGCAAATGGCCGCTTATACAGAAGAAAGGCTGGAATGGATTGATAAAGGAGCAGACTATGATGGAGAATTGAATTCGATGAAAGGAAAAACTTGTTTACCAAAACATATGTATCCAGCAGTTGTCCAATGGGCGCATGGACATGCACATCTCTCTAAGAACTTAAAGAACTCATTGATCAGCAAGTATTACGGGCTCCACGGATAACCACCTTAACCAGAAATTACTGCGCCTCGTGTGTAGTATGTGCAAAATGCAACCTGGGGAGGATGGAAAAGACACTGCAGAAACATCTGGCAAAACCCCTCTATCCATTCCAGGGTACAGATTGATCATATACAGATGCCAAAAAGTGGCCGATATGAATATGCTCTAGTGGTGGTGGACATGTTCTCTGGTTGGCCGGAAGCCTATGCTGTTACAAACATGACAGCCAAGACCACGGCTAAGAAACTACTGATTGAGGTAGTCTGTAGATTTGGGGTCCCAGAGGTGTGATAGAGAGTGTTCAGGGTCCAGCCTTCATAGCCACCCTTACAAAAGAGATTTGGACAGCACTGGGGGTCGAGTTGGCCCTACACACCCCATATCACCCTCAAAGCAGTGGGAAGGTAGAAAGGATGAATGGGACTCTAAAAAACAGGATGCTAAAGATGGCCCAAGAGACTAACATGAGTTGGCCAGACAGTTTGCCCATTGCTCTGTTTAGTGTCAGACACCCCCTGGGGGAAACATGCCCTGTCCCCTTATGAGATTTTGTTTAGCTCAGCCCCCAGACTTGGTTGTTACTTTCCGCAACAGTTGCAATTACAATCTGATGTGTTAATTGATTATGTGACTGCATTATCACGTGAATTAACCCGTATCCATGTCCAAGTGTTTTCTCCATTCCAGATTCTGAGTCAGATACAGGAACTCACAGCCTATTACCCGGAGATTGGGTATTAGTAAAGACATTTATGAGGAAACGTTTCCTTGAGCCAAGACATGATGGTCCATTCCAAGTTCTGCTGACCACAGCCATTTCTGTCAAGGTGGCCGGGAAGAACACTTGGATACACGCCTCCCAATGCAAGAAAGTCCCAAACCCTGAGGGAAAGGCGTCATCTACACCATGACAACTATGTTGTATATCCTTTTTCTTATAAGTCTGACAGAGGCTCAACAGGTGGATATCACCGAAATAGGTGACACCACTATATTTTGGTACAACTCATCCAACACTCATGTAGCTATTTTCACCTTTGATTTCTGTAATATAGATCCCATGTGGTGCTATGACCATAATCTGTATGATCTTGACACAACGAGCATGTTCCGATAGTAGTGACCAGGTATACATATGTGTCATGGATGATTACTGGGGACCAAAAGATTAGAACCAGATTGGAAGGGATTTGGACTGGTGAATGTGCCCTTGCAAAGGTCATTATGCCTCTCCATATCCTAACAGAAGATACCCCTGACACACACACTGACTCAGCATCTAGGCACAGGAGGAAGCGGACAGCTCCCTCCGGATGTTTTGATCCACATGTGTATATAGATGCCATTGGAGTCCCAAGGGGGGTGTGTCTTGGAAATTCACTTTCAACAAATTTCTCCTTACCGTGAGTACCCGCAGTTGGATGCACAGCAATCCCCCATAAAGCTGTGCGAACTTCGCTTACTGCAGCTGCAGCTTAACTCTGCGATTCCTGCGCCTCCAACTGGTTTAGCTCTGTTGAGATGTGGGGAAAATGGAGCTCCCGTGACCCAGGAATAATCAGATGATACTCTCAGGTTGGAGGTTGAATTCACTCTGTGTCCGGCTCTAACTCCAGACTCTTGTTTTATTCACTTACAAAGAAACACACATGCCCCCCCACACGAGGGACAGGTCAATCCCCTCCCACAGAACAATGTATAGGGGGTGTCCATACACGAGAATGTACATCCTGTTTGGAGTGTAGCATTTCCTCTTATCTATACTGAAAACCAGTTAAACCAGTCCTCCCCTTCCCCCTGGTGAGCTCTCTTTGGAGAGCAAGCTTCCCATCCTTTACATGCTATCAGCTCCTAGTAGTATGTACATTGTCTGTACAAGCATCCCTTAGATTAAACAGTGCCAGTCTGTATCTGAATGGGCCCGATACGATCTTTATTAAAAAAAACACATCCATCCAGATACAGTTCAGGTCGGTAGTGGTTTGCAGAGAGCCTACACGTGGAGTTCGCACTGCCTGGCGCCTGGCCATACGAAGTCCATGTGGTACTATGCTGCTGATATGTGGATACAGGCCCGCGGCCTACTGCCGGCGGCATTCGCATCGAATGCCGTGGTGGTATACACGCCGGTCTATAAGCGCAGATCTGCCATCTCATCCATTACCGAGCTGAGTACTGTAATATGTTCATTGTAAATGCGTATGGCCCAATTGCAGCCTTCAGAGCTTTAATTAAGCCACACGAGAGACATATGAATAACACTAATATATGACACATTTAAAGTTCAACCTGTAATACAAAATTTCCATGACAGGGTGCCTAATGAATTTAAAGCCAGAGACCAAGTAAAAGCAGGCTTTGAATCCCTGATTCCCATGATAACTGTTAATAAAAATGTAGATTGGATAAATTACATATACTACAACCAACAGAGGTTTGTGAATTATACCAGAGATGCCCTCCAAGGAATCATTGACCAGCTAGCCCCTACATCCTACATGACATTCCAGAATAGGATGACTCTGGACATGATTTTAGCAGAAAAAGGAGGTGTCTGTAAAATGATAGAAGGAACCGGAACATGTTGTACATATATTCCTGACAATACTGGCCTGAATGGTAAGGTTACTCTGGCTATAAAGAAATTAGAAGATCTGTCAGTGGAGCTGAAGAAGAACTCAGGTATCTCAGACCCGTGGGATCAATATTTTAGCTGGATGATGAGTGGGTGGCAAAAAGTGCTCGCCCAAATAGGGGTAACTGTACTAATAATTCTAGTTCTTTTAGCTCTGATTGTATGTTGTATTCTACCATTTGTAGAGAAGTTAATAAGCAAGGCTGTAGGCAACAGCACACCTACATTTCTCCATCAAGAAGAGGAGGACCCCCTTGTGATGGAAGAGGATAAACCTTTCACTCCTCTATGGTCCCTCCCCACCAACAGTAATCTCACAATCTTGTAGGGATAGTATCTGACTTCCTTATGTACAAAGTCTGTGGCAAGGGAGGTGATGAAATAGTCATCACCCGTCTAACGTACAGCATAAAAGAGTTCCAAGGTACATAAGGACAGATGAGCGAGAGGTCTTATAGGGACAGAGTGAAATAGTCATTTTAAGGGGGGACTGTGATGGATTTGGTAAAATGCCTATTCTGTTTCCTGTTTAAAATATACATTTTATACATATTTATTTTTATTCTTTTATATTTTTTCATATTTCTAAATATATGTGTTGTATATATATATATATATATATATATATATATATATATATATATATATTTTGTCTGCTGGGCTTTGTTTTGTTCAGAGCGATGCTCTCAACCCCTCCCTTCGCACTGAGAGGATTTTGCTTAGATTTTGAGTATGTGAGGGGGAGTGAAAAAAAGATAACGGGATGAGAAGCATCAAGTTTCTACATTTCTCCCATATTTCAGCCAAGCAAAATGTGCCTTTTAGAATGTGACTGTATATACGTAATAGTGACGTGTACTCTATTGTTCTCTATGTATAAAAGGTTAAGCACCGCCCTGCAATAAACAGAGATGATGTGAAGGTAGTTGTACTGGACAGTTGTCCGTGGAATTATTTTCCGGCACGCAATCCATATCTCAAAATTAGGAAGAGCAGCAGAAATCCTACCCTGAGCCCGATTGTGGTTCTCCCAACCTTTTTACAATCACAGATCACTATCTTGAGCGGTCAAAAAGCTAACTCACTGATGACAGTTGATGAATGAGTTCGGTTCTGACAGCAAGCTTTGCATTGCAGGAGAAATGATCATTATTTCTCCTGCAAAGCAAAGTGTAAAAAAAAAATCCCTGATCTCCCCCCTCCCCCCCCCCACAGTAGTACAATGGTTACCATGGTAACATCCTACTATTCTGATAATTGTATTAAAAAAAAGTTAAATATCATTGTAATGGACATGTAAAATTTATTGTAAAGGACATGTAAGATTTGAGTGGAAATATGGTATCATAGCCATGACAGGTTGAGTAGATTAGATTATGTCAGGCCCTTTCATTGCAAAGGTGTGTGCAGGAACAGTCTGGTTATTAAGGATGTACATTGAGCCCCTGGGCAGTAGGGAAATGAATAGAAGGTACAAACAAATGGTCTGGGATCAGATGTGTATGTATACACAATTACTCAATAGGCCTTACAGACCCAATCATCATTTAGCATTAATTAGTCTAAAGCCAGGTTCCTGGAGGTGACACATCAAAGAAGTATGTTTAATCTCTTATAAAAGCTAAAATATTAGTTGGAGAGATATGAACAAGCTTCCTTCTTGTAGGCCATTCTGTACGCTACATTTACATATAAGAATCATATTTGTGGCTTGGGGAGGAAGCCAGGGAAATGCATGGAATGGTTAGATGACGCGGGGGGGTGTGACAGTCGGATGGTGTTTGGTACTGTTGCGATCGGGCTGACACGCTGGTGTCAGAA